TATGAATTGAAGAATATAGAGCATTAATGCAATTATGTTTACTTCAAATTTCCTTTTGCGACTATGGATAGCTCATATCAGCTAATTTGATTTTTATAAAAATCGGCTGATATGTATTGGTGTTGTCCACGTATTAACAAACAGACAGACTGGACACGCGATATAAACATTTGTTATTCACTTTGGCACGTTCGCTAGGCTCTCGTATGAAATGCTAAAAAGATTACACAGAATCAAAAATACCGGTTCATAATTCAACACACTCGTGCATACAAAATGAGTTAATATAAAACTGTAATGTTAATTTTCAATAATCAATAAATGCTTGGGTTTTTACGCAATAAATATCCATTTTTATTCTTAACGCTAACGTTAATACGTCAATAACGAGTGACACTCATTTCGGTATGGTATGGTTGCAAAAAGGGTATTGATTATCAAAAATAATGTGATTTAGATATCGGTATGGTTATTTTTCAACCATACTATACCAAAATGCTCCTATATCCAGTTTATTTTTATTGATAGCGATAGAGAAATGATAAATATAAAAACATGCAGCAAATAGTGAAGCATAAAGAGTCAACACGAGAAAAAATTATCAATTTTACAAAAAACAGATGATATTGACCATACACGATCATTATTAGGGATGTTGATGGTTCGGGACCGCGGTTTTTTCATATGTAAAACTGTGGTTCCAACCAGTTTGGTATATTAAATAAAACCACGGTTTCAAGAATGAGCACCAGTCTGCCAAAAACATAATTTAAAAAGAAAGATCGGATATGTTTGTGATAAACACTTCGTCGGCTTGCTTTGAATCGTTCATGCTCCTACGCAATCTCTTTATTAATAATAAACCCAAGCTACAGAGAACTAAAATTGTACACGAAATTCAAAGTAGCGTGTCCCTAAAGCACGAATCCACCTCCACCCACATACAAGCAACTGCAGAAATAGTTATTGTTGCTTTCAAACTTCACCAAATCAAATCCTAAACTCAAGGTAAAGTTTCTTTTATGTTGTGTGTCAAACAGGTGTTTGGAGACAGAATATTGAAATTCAAATTCATTTATGTATGTATGGTGCGGCACGCCAACAACTTTTATGTTCTAAATTCTATAACTTCATAACTTGGAAGTACATGTAAAATCCGATAGAATCAAAAGAAAGATCTCATTCTGTCAGATTACATTTTGTATTTACTTCCTAATTAAGAAGTTTATAGAATTTAGGACATATAGAAACCGAAAAGTTGGTTCGAATATTTGTTCCAGATAACGCTCTCATTTCATATTAAATAATTATACTGAACTAGAATGAGAAAAAATTCTCCCAGCAAATTGAATAGATTTTAAATCGGAGAATTCACCTCTAAATATATCAATCATTAAACAAGCATCTATTTATTAAATTATATAGGAATCACGCACCTTGAGGAATTTGAAAAAACAAAAATAGCTATGGTTTTTCACGTGTATGACATTCTGTCTATTTGATAACTAATCCAATCGCAAGTGTAATTGTTTTCCAAATTTGAAACTCATGTGAACAAAAGCTCACATGTATGTCATAATATCGCGAGAAAGGGAACTTGTAATTAGTATGATCAATTATATACAACGATTTTCGTGACAAAAAAAGTAATCCCGATAAACCATATATAACGTAAAAATCTATTTTAAGAAATTCAAATCCTCGAGTGAAAAAATTTATAATTGCTGTGTCTTAATTATTCACCTTTTGAAATGGATAATGCGATTGAACTTTTAATAAATTATATACTTTGGATATGTTCGTTAGTATCATCTATGTATATGATGATCGCGTTCTATCGAACAAGACGTAATCCCCTTCTTACCGTTTTCTGTGCGGGCTACAGTCTATTGGCTAGTAATATATTGCTATCATTAATATACCTTGGAGATATGAAGAATGCCCCTCATTCAATATGTATTATTCAAGCCTTGTTGGTAATTTGATTTTTGCTTATTGTCAAAAGTATTTTGGACATAGAAAATAATGAGGAAATTGACAAAATATAAAAAAGTTACAATATAGTGCATTTTTGATGACAATCGCAGCTTTTTGCTTTGCCAGACAAACCTTTGTTCTTTTGGTTTTATTCAAAAGAGAAACGGTAAGAATTAATTGTCGTACATTGGCCGATTTTGTTTTTATTACGATCCGAATCTATTCACCGACTTTTTACATGTATTTGAATAGAAATGGAGCACGAAGAAAGTTTATTCCACGCTAGTTATTGCGTATCCGATAATTATGACTTCGATAATGGCAACTGTATCAATACTAAATGATTCCATAAAACCAAGGGTTTTAAATTGGTAATTACCTTGTTATAATTTACATGAAAATGGATATTTTTAGATTTACCCCCAATCTTTATCAAAGTGATGTAGTTTCTCCGATAACTTATCGACTAATCGGAATTGCCGGTTTTGACATGATATTAGGATTCTTGGGAATATGGTACAGTGGTGAGTATGTTGTCCTTTGCAGAAATTACTAAATAATCTTTTTTAATTATGATGTTTACCCTTATAGCCAGGGCAGCGGTTGCAATGTTTTCTCATCTTACAATCTTTCGTGCTTTCGTGGGTAAATCGAACATGGATTCAGCTTTGAAAAATACACAAAGTTCTAGACCTTCTATGAGCCCTGTAGATCTTAATATACGTACGCCAATTCCAATAGAAGAAAGGCGAGATTCTAATCACCACGATATTGAAAGTGATTATTCATTCAACGCAACTACAACATCACCTCAGGCCACAGATCACCCAAAAAGTCACCGAAATTCAGAAATTAATCGTGCATCCTCCGTTACGAGAAAGGATGGTTTGCCTAGAAGTATCAATGCGCCTGAAGTCCCAGAAACGTCAAATGTACAAAATCTTCATCGTCAGCTTACTAATAATAGCATACGAACAACCAATGCAGCAATCGAGACAAATCGAAAAAGATATGCTATTACTCGAACCGCGGCTATACGAATGATTTTATTCTCTATAGTATTCATGGTGATTAATTCTATCACCTCATTACAAACGATTATACTCGTCATAAGTGGTAAAGACTATGATATAGATCGGATAAATGCGGTCGATTGGGTAGCATCAGTTCTGGGAATTTTAGTGTTTTTGGTGTTCGATGCGTCTCATGGTATCCCAGCAGCAAGATCACGGAAGTCGAAACTAGAAAAATTCTTGAGGTGGTCTCGACACAAATCGAGCGCGTCAAGCTCAAGTGGGATGTCGATTCAGAGTGAGGTTGTTGCTGAATTTAACGTTTGGGAAGATAGCGATAGTAGCCAAAAATAGCAATCCAATTTCATACTGTTCAGCTTTTCTTTCATTACATAAAACAAATAACGGACATTATATATATATATATATATATACATTTTCTTTGGTGTATTTGTCAAGAAAATCGCGAATTTTTATGTCAATGAAAACGGATTTTGATCATATTTTTATGATATAATCATGCGTGTTTTTTATTTGTAAAAAGACTTTGAAATCTATATAGTAAATGTGGATCCAGTATTTACGTATATGGATTCGGATTTTGGATTTTGGATTTTTTTGGCTACATCCCCTTAATTTGGATCAATTCCATCTCTACATGATGAAATCTCAATATAAAATGAAGCTTAAATTCTGTAAAAGAAATTTTCACAAGAGTTTTTTGTCAATATTATAAGATAGACGAACCAATTAAACTCGTAAAGCACATAAGCTTGCCGCCGTAATTGTTTTTGTAAAGTTGTAATTTGTTGTAATAATTACGGCCGACAAGCTTTAAAGCACACCTCTCTGATACAAACAAGGATACAATATTTATCTGGTATTTGTCTATACATCTACACGTTTATCTTTATACGCAAAGACATGCTAAATGATAAATTGAAGATGTGTAGACAACCCGATCAATACACTTGGCTTTGAACTTTGAGAATATAACAAATAAAATAAACTAGGTTATATACAAGTCAAAATAAAGTTTAGAGTAGATGTCGAAAATTCGTAAGTGAGTTTAATGTTAAGTTTGTTGACTATAGTGTGTCTCCTTCGGTGGTTTAACAGAGGAGGAATCATCGTGGGTAAATGAGTAATAACGATGTTAATGATGACGGTGATGACCAAAAGCATGCTTAAGCTGTCCAAATCGCTTATTCCTGTTTCGATATTGAACAGTGTGTAAGCCAACTCAATACATGCGAAGTTGTAGTTTGGCTTCAACAAAGTAACGCGGAAAAAATGTGAAACCTGTGTCACTAATCCTGTTTGTGCACTAACCACGTGCGTGTGTGATCATTTCAATTTCATTTATTTAATTATAAAATACAGTAAAACCTCTCTAAGTGCACCCCCCTCGGGGTCATAATAAAAAACAGGCAGAGTGTGCACTTAGAGAGGGTATGCATTTATTGAGAGTAAAATATATATGTGTCTTATAACTTGGAACCAAGCCATACCGTGCATTTAGAGAGAATTTATATAGTGCGTGCATTTATAAAGCATGCACTTAGAGAGGTTTTACTGTAAGAAGGGAAACCTAATCGTCAATGTAAATAATATAGCACTGAAGACTCACCAAATGTCCTAATTGTTCAGAAAATGTTGCCAATTAAATCAGATCAGTTAATACCTTCTGGCCCTATCCAATTGGAATAAGTAGCTCCAAAAGTCCACTGGTTCAGAAGGTTAGCAATGCGTGGTAACAGTGCAAACACGTGATAATTGTGGAAGTGCTTTCTGTAAAATTCAAATACTGTAAACTGCTGTGAATAAGCACCACCCTATCTATTTCTATTTCAATCCAAAAATAGTACTTATGCACAGCAGTTTACGGTATTCAACAACTAAAAAGGATGTAAAACTTGTTCGGTAGTTCCACGCATTTCTACCATGTCGTAAATTCGGAAGTGTTGCCTGTCAACCCAAGAATAACAGATGTATTTTCTGCCTCATTATGATTATAAAATAATTAATCGCTATTTTGATATAAATATTCTAGCGTCTCCCAATATATTATGTCCGTATTACTATTCAAGCAAAGTACGGAGTCCAAGATGAAAAATAGATAAATCATCATAATTATATATATCACAATCCTAGCAGATGAAATGTCATAAGCAGAATCAAATAATTATACTGCAAGTTCATTTTCTGATACTGAGCAGCTGGATCTTATATTGAGCAAACAGGTGATAATAATATGAATGAAATTACACCAGCACAAGCTAAGGAGAGTCCAGTAATTATAATATCAACCCTATAGCCAAAGACAATGTCTGATCTACGCACCAATACATACAAATTGCCAATTACTTGTATAATACAGTTGAGGAAAACGAGCAGTTGATGTTTAGCTGATCGGACAGGAATTGGCTATTTTAGTAGCTGATAGTGAATTGATTTAATCTATCGTTATAGTCAAGCCATCCTCAGTAAGCTGAAACCATGATAAGCGGAAGTTTATTCAAGAACAGATATAGTAAATCCCTTTCGAGAGTTTCTACTAGTAGCCCGATCAGTTTGGTTATCTGTATCAAAAGCTTAAAAAAAAATAATTTTATTAAACTTATTATTTAAAAAGACTATCATTAATTTTAAATGTCATATGGTGCATAACATCTAAAGTCACCAAACATTTGAATTTGATAAAATGGGTAGATTCTTTACTAAGAAGTAAATACAAAATTTTAATCCGTGAATATAATAGAATAAGCCCTTTCTGAGAATATTCACGGATTAAATTTTGTATTAACTTAGTAAATAATTTTATCCATTTATAAACTACAAATGTTTCATGACTTTAGATGTTATGCACCATATTCCTTAACTTTTTGTTATTGCATCATTGATTATTGTTTACTGTTCTATGGTAAGGCTAAATGAAGAGCATAATCATAATGATAATGATATTATGTACATGTAATTGGTATTGGTATGCATATCGTTATACGTACGTACGTATATAAAATAAAGTGTCGCATTTAATGCATTTAAATGAATACCTAATGAAAGCCCTAGGCTTGACATGGACGTTAAATAGAATTATACATATATTACAAGCGTTATCTTTATATGCTGAAAAAAATACGTAAACTCTTCTCATTAAAACATTGTCATTTGTAAACAATATGCATATGCATGTAAACTATTGAAAGAACTCCGAAGAAACATTTGTTTCTTTTATATTGATACCGATACATAACTTGAATAGTCAACAATTACGGTGAAAAATTTCCGTATTTGCCTATGATCTTACTTATTTTGATAACTAGATGTGCATGCTTGTATCCATTAGTGTGTGATGACTTTTATTTCATTCAAATATTTCTACTATTGGAAGTTGATTACGAAAAACTTTTATTGAAAAAATTATCATAATAAAGGCAGTTGGATACTTTAAACAAAGATCATTAACAACTTATGAAATCGAGTCTATTGATTGAAAGATGTTATTACATATGACTTAAAATATATTTTTTACAATATACAAATTATTTTTAGATATTACTATTAAATTTTTAACAAAAGTTTTAGTTGAACAAATAATGCATTACTTTATTGTTCTAATTACCTATTACGTTTATTTGCCATTGTACTTTGCCACTTATTATATCATTAATGTAATTGAAATGAGGTATTCTGATGTGCGCTAGAACGATTTAAACTAACAGTTTTGCGCAGAGTTCATTCTTTAATAATAACTTTGAAGTAACAAGAACTTTTTTTAGAATAATTTCTTATAAAAAGAGTGCAAAGTCTCCTCTAAGAAAATCGCTTGAACTGCCAACACAAATCTTGTGTACAATAAAAATCAAATATTCAATTATGGGTAAACAAAGGATTCAATGGGTCGATAATAATCTAAAGGGTCGCTTACCTTCTCGTATTCAAATGACATTACCTCTACTTATTTCTGATAGCGATCTTTTACCGAGACGTAGTACTGCCAAAAGAGCTCAGAACAAGTTTCTTATTTATCGCAAAGCTCTATTAAACAATCTTATGAAACACAAATATACGGACTTCAATCAGTGTAAAGCAGGTCAGCTTGCTAGCAAACAATGGAGAAATGAAAGTCCTGAAATTATCGCTGAATGTACGAGACTCGCAATTAGAGCAAAAGAACTTTTTGAACAAAACAAAAACAACTCTGTTCCAGACGTTTTGGTTGTAAATCAAAATACGGATAACACCGACAATTATGTCCCTGACTACATGCACAATGAATTTGATATTCATGACTATTTCTATTTTGACTCTTTCGCTTAAGAACACAATGATTTTGATATTGGACAATTTTTCTATTAAAAAATTCTGAAAACTTTATGTTTATAGCTACCCATCATACATTATATGCTTTTCCATCAATTAAAAATTTAAAAATTCTCATAATAAGCTTTTCAAAAAAAATAGAATTTACACGATAAAGCTAAAAAAACAATATTCAATACAAAATCTATTTAGATAACTTTATTTTTATTACACATTAAAAAAAAACTATATAAGGTTAATAAAAATTGTTAAATGTAGTACCGTTTTAAGAAAGAACGGAATGGTCTTTCCGAGCAATAAAATAAATGTATATGTAGATAAAAGTACAATAAATTTTGTTACGATCACGCTTGGCCAAGTCTTTTTTAACGTGAGAAAGAATGAGATGCGTATGTAGTAATCACATATAAATGGTTATTGCATTTGACGATAAACAGAGAAATAATGGTCTTTTTTATGTAAATTTCAACAATGAAGTATATATTCCGCTATAACGGATCTGTGGGGCTGAAAAAATCAGTTCATTATACGTAGCTGTAGTATAAAAATTCCGCTATGTTGATTCATTGATCAACATTTCGGTAAACTGTCGCTACCGAATCGTTCGGAGCCCGTCTTTTGCAAAAAAATATGGTTTCATTCTCGTTATCTCGAACACAATTCCTGTATCCGTTCCGCGATATCACGCCTTCTCGCATTATATGCTCGAAGCTAGAGATCATGCCAAGTAATGAGAAACATTTTAATACACTGTACTGTCTGTTTTTACATCTCATGAGGTCTGATCGAAAGAGGATATCACAAATAGAAAATAACGATAATGCAATGCGATTTTCGCTAAGTTGAGTGATTCCGTTAACTTTTGTTCACGATGTGAAGTTTTCTTAGACATCTCTTTCATCCCCGTATTAATTACCCATCTGACGCGTGTGAAATAAAGACAGCATTCTTCTATAATTAGAATATCTATATTCTCCAAAGGTCGTGAATCATAAAAATTATATGCGTTTAATGATCAAATAATCTGATTGCTATTTTTGTTTTACATATTATTAATAAAAATTTTTTCAGATATGTAAGCGTCGATTTTGCACCTTCAATTCGAGCCCATGGCGTCAAAAATTGTTTGTTGTATGTCATATAGATCGATCGCAACCTCCGGTGCTTGAAGAAGATTAGAGGCCTGAGGAGGGAGTGTTTGCGAAGAAACTACAGCTTGGAGAGGAGGGAGGGATTATGGACAGCCAGCAAAGATACAGTCACGATCAAGGATGAGCCATTTCATGTGAGGGGCCTGCAAAAATCATTCTGCCTGCCGTTGGTATATACAGATCCAAACTCAATCTGCTAGTGTCAAACGATGTGAGCCAAACAAACAAAAAAGAACAATTGTAAAATGCACCGTTCCTACCTCTTTGATTGGGTCGAATATTGTAGCATTTGGATTTTGCTGGAGAATCGCATGCCGACAGAATTTTAAGCACTGTCGGAAATACAAGAGAACAGGTTTAACGAATGAAAAGCAATTCAATATTAACCTGCAAAGGACGTCTAATATTCTGATCACGGCGTTTTTCTCTCCAATTGCAAATAATCATTAATTTTGTTCTTTACATTTCGAGTGTTTCCGAGGAAGCAACTTCATGATAATATTTGATCATGGGTTTTCCTAAAAATTTACAGCTTCACAATAAAATCCATATTTTTCATATCCAAACAAACCAATGAAAATATTGATGAAACTGCAGACATTATGATCACAAGGATTTGGTGCCGGGTTCCGCGGATCCAGCAAACGTCAAGGCACAAAACACGCATCTGGCTCTTGATATTCATCTCTCGAGAGGTCAATATATAAACATGGATGCAACAGAATTAGGTTCAGCACAGCAGGACACGTATACAGATTAAATACTTGAAAGAACTTACTTTTCGCTCACCAATCCCTGACTTTGTCTTGAGGTATCGCATTACTGAAGGCGCTTATAGCTGAGTGCTGAACTTAGAGTGCGTGGCTTCATATTCACCTGTCGACAACTCGATAATGGCCAGTGCCGTTGCAATATTCCCATAACCTTCTCGCCTTGGCTTTTTGCATATTGTTACACCTCTCGCCAAAACTAGAGTGAGTCTAATAAGGCAAATCAAATATTGGCATGGGCAAGTGGAAAATAACATGATAAGTGACCACCAATAAGATCCACTTTACCTTTGGCTATCTATACCTGAAAAGGTTACATCAGACCACCACTTTTTTCCTTGTCATTGGCTTCTGTGACGTGATCTACACCTGTGCCTCTAAGATGGCTTGGTCAATTTTACAAAGTACGATGAAGAGTCGCAAGCATTGTTTAAAGATAGGAAAAACCTTTTCTCGAGCATATTCAGATGGATATCATAAGTCTACTTACTTTTAAACTTTTAGTAGGACTCGGTCGATGTATAGTATCAGACATATTCTCGGTATTCGATACTCTATTGGTAGTAACATCATAAATAGAAGTCATTTTTTGAACGACATAATCGTAACTGGAGTATTTTTGATAATCAATCGCATCATGTTTTGCTTACGAGTTACACTTCAAACTCTCACTCTCGTTTAAAAACGACAAATTATTGCCCAGATAGCAATTTTATCATTATTGATATTTGAAACCTATACTGAAAAATCAGCCACATTGATAAGATCATTATATAATCCATTTGAGTATGAGATCAAATATATTTGAGATACAATAATAAATGTTGTTAGTACAGATTTTTTATTATATAAATTTTTCTTATAAAGTTTATATAGAATCTTTTTTGTTATTATTAAAATGTAAAAATACTCAACATATATTATTAAAATTATATCTTTTATATTATATTTTGGTACTATTTTGAGAATTATAACTTTTTGAAAAGTTATAAGCTTTAAATTTCGTATAAATATTTTTATTATTAATATTATTTTTTGTAAAAAAAAATTTACTATTGAATTGTTAAAAAAATACAATTTACAATTAAATTATACTCTTTGTATTATAGTTTAATATTATTTTAACAATAATATCTTTTATTTTAAAAGTTATACGTTTTTAAAATATGTATATAATAATTTGTATTATTAATAATTTGAATTTAGATCTCTGTATTACATGTAATCCAAATCAAAACCTATATAAAAATTATAAAGCTAAATATTTTATAGACAAAAATCTGTTAAATGCTCTAATATTATTTAAAGTTTGTTTTATTTAATATTAATTAATAATAAAATTAAGAAAAAACATGCTATTACTTGAAATTTTGAATATACTATATGTAATATAGTACAAAAGTATTTTGATTATAATATTTCTAATAAATACCAAGAACAAAAATAAGTTGTCAAGAAATTATATTTTTTAAAAAACATTTATAAAATTATAAAAAATTTAAAAATATAGTTAATATATTAAATTAATAAATAATTGGTATTAGTTTGTAATATATTATATTACTAATAATACATATAAATTCAATTTATTAATTTAATCTATATAATATAATTCATACTCTAATTATTTATTATAATACCAAAATAAATATTCCAATTAAATTTGATACTTTTATTCACTTTTAATTTTTTTAATTATTTTGTGAGTATTAATACCAATCTGTCAAAGATATTAAAAAAGAAAAATACTAGTAAAATAATTGTTCATGTATATTATAAGAAAATTAATAATATGAAAGTTGTTCAACAAAATAATGAACCAAATATTCAGTTTGATTAAAATCATTTACTTTTGTTACATCACTCAAAACAATATGTAATATTAGAGAAAAGTATAAATATATCCAAATTTATAAATCAATATTATTTTGAAGCTCTTTGAAGTCAGTTTGTTCTTAATTTAAATAATATAGATGCTTCTTTTAGAAAATTGAATTATTATTTCATTCACTAAGATATTTGATTTTAATATGTAAAGTTGCTTTGAGATATTCCAAATGTGTGAGAGCAATAGTTCCAATTTCTCAAAATAATTTTTAATTGTTGCAGTAGTAAAGCAAATATACAAAAATCTCTTGATTTGTTTTAAAATATGATACATGGGGAAGCTTCTCGTTTTCAGTTCAGTATTGATCAAGAGAAGACAACTTAAAAAGTTCCTGATAAATGACCAGCGATATCCAGATGATGAGCTCTTTACAGTTTAAGTCCAGTCATTATCTACTGGATAACACCAGCATCTTTTGTTAATGCATAAAGATTTGTATTGACAACAATTGTGTCTAGCATGGTAAAAAAAGAATAAAATCAAGGTATAATGGCAGCTAAACAAATGCCTGATAAAGTAATCTTGAATGAGTAAATCATTCAAAGTTGGAGGGTGGTGGTGGCAGTTCTTGTTGTATGTTTCCTGTTGATTTACGTTTTCTCTTCCTATATCTATTTCTATAATGTTCTTGTCCTCATTTTCATTATCGGGTTCTGGATTATCTAAGAAATGTTATGTATTCTTCCTCATCATCAGCATGCGTCTCTGTATCTTCAAGAGAAGATGAACTTAAAGCCAACACACTTGACCTAATCGTAGAGAACATGCTCGAGAGAGATAATTTTTTTTATTAGGTAATGGATGTTACTCAAACGTACAATTTCAGCATTACGTACATAATAGACACAAGAGATACAGTAAATACATACGTACATGGAAGATGGACAATGTAGTGTGCTTTCATTTTAGCTTAAGAAAGGCTTAACGTTAAGAAAATCGTGAGTAATTCTGTAAAAATAGGTCAAAAAACATTTTAGCATGCAGATTTGGCCACTGACGGTTTAAGTGATATGATATTTTGATAAAGAATACTTAAATTTGAAGGAATTTTTATTATAAACTTTCTGGTTCTTATACAGAATGCTGATTAAACATAAATTTTATAGCAAAAACTTAGTTTTACCAGTGTTGGTGAGCCAATGGACTTGAACACTGGTCACCTTGATTCGTTGGCAACACTAACTGGGTCAATGATTTATTAGTACAATGAGAACCAATTAACTTGGTCCATTGATAACTGAAATATATGCAAACTGTGCCATCACTGGACCCGGTCCAGGTCCATTGGCAACGCTGGTTTTTACTATAGTCGAAAATTAGTTTCTTCTTTAAGACAACCGGCTCTAATTTAGAAACAGTTACAGTAAACTTGTGATAAACTGAATTTAGTAAATAAACCTTGATAACGAGGTTGATGTAGGATATCAGTCATACTTATAGATGGTGACTAAATGCTGTAATTCATTTATTTTTGGAATCACAGCTAATTTGAAGTAATTATTATAAAAAGCTCTGTCAACATTTTTGATAAAAACAATCAAAAATAGCGATAGATTGAGAAGTGTTTATTTACGTTCGTTTGCATACATCACATCAAAAACAAAAAAATAAAACACAAGTCGAACGTTCGTTTGCATACATCACATCAAAAACAAAAAAATAAAACACAAGTCGAAATCTGTGGCCAAGAAATCAATAATTCAAATACCAGAATTTAATATCGATATTGAACCAGAATTTAGAGGAAATCCAAACTGTCAAATGAATTTATATCGATATATTTATTAGCAGTGGCATTTGATTAACGTAGCTCAATCAATTTTTGTGATCTCTGTTGAACTCAATTTACTCTTTTAATCACAATATGTAAATTATCTTGGACATAATGTGTTAACTTCGGCCTATTATGTCTCATTGTATTCCTAATAGAGACTAAAAAAACGGAATTTCCTTTTTGTGCCCGAAAATCAATTCTTGCTTTTTTCACGACTAGAACAAATAAATTATTAATTGAAATGATTTTTTTATTTCGAAGCAATTTTCACAAATTTTATATCCGTTACTATTTTCCTCGGATTCGAAATTCTAATTACGTTCTATGACAATAGAGTATGTACAATGTGTTCTTGGAAATTTTCTCCGATTTGAAATTCTTATTACAATAGCGATGGAGCACAATGTTTTCTTGGAAATCAATAAATGAATGCTAGCGCACAATGTTGAACCAAATACGACTATGACTATATTGACAATGGATACTTGACACTGTAAATCTCTATTATTTAAATAGATCCTTTACACTCTTAAAAAACCGATAATAGTTAGAAACATCAATAGTGAATAGTAAACTTTTTTATTGTTTTTTTTTTCAAAATAGAAATAATACTATCGCTATACAACTTTGAGATTATTCGTAAATTCGTATTTTACGTGTCGCTATGCACACACTTAATTTCCCGTTATGTTTTATCTCACATGCGCACATTTAATAATTACGTATGGCAGGTATAACAAATACATGTGGATAAAATTGTTATCGTTATACGTTTTTACTTACGTACATCACTTGCATAGTGCCTGTTATGATAACTTGCATCCTTGCATGATACATGTACGTATCCATATTTCTGATAAGAAAAATTGTGTTCTATATGTATGATAATAATTTCTGAAGATAACGATAATGCTTGATGTAAACAAAGATATCTTGATCTTTATTAGCTGTATACTGATATACATGCAATTAAAGTATACGAATCAGAAGCAAAGGTGGAAGTTTAGAAGCAAATATGTAATTTGTGACACATTTGCATACAATTGTATAAAATGATACGTGTATTTTCTTGGCTCTATGAACCCCTTGTCTTTGAGGAGAACTAAAACTATCAAATACAATTACGTACAATACGAGAATCCTTTCTTTCATCGTCGTACTACCCTTACCCCTGTTAATCAAATCAAGAATATGACGGAATCAGTTGAGGTCAAACACACAAAAATCTTTGTCAATGAATCGTCTTGCTAAAAAAAAATTATCCTTACGCAACGCATAACATCATCACATAGACGAATTATAAAAACGGTAACGTGATATTTTCTTTCTTTCCTCATTTTTAATTGCTCCATTGTTCTCCTAATAGAATCAACAGAGTCGATTACTTTAGTACGTAATATGAAAGCTTGTTGTTCTGAATAAAAACAAAATACATGTATGTAAGCAAAAGAAAAAGAAATTGTGTATACAAAGACGCATTCAATATACGTACGTATATATTTTTGCTCGTCGATCACCGGATAATAAACAGTAGTAATGCGGTCCGCTATTGCCTAAATGTATACGCATACTTGCCAAAAACGTGACAATTGCATAATTGCAACACCAAATGCTAAATTAGGCAAGTAAGAGGCAAATGATGCTTTTGGACAACAGGCTGGAGCTAACGTTACATTCTATGATTTTTTTTTGTTGTATCTTTCAAATAGAATAATAACAACATCGATAATAAAAAGAATACATGTATTTACACAATGGTTGAAGTCGTTGGTGAGACAATAACGATAATAATTTCCCGACTATAATTACTATTTTTTTAACGATTATGTAGTCAGGACGGCCGTTCATTCGCGCAGTACGTACATTGTATACATGTATACTATTTTTATATTATACGTTAAAAAATGCATATATAAGTACTCTTCTTTTCGCCAAATTTTCCACAATTCCTATTTTTTCTCTGATAAAAACAATAAACTATAAACTTGCAATTAATTTACCTTTCAGCAAACTTTATAACAATCGCGTTTTACACAACAAATAAAAACATGGGTGGAACTCAATTTTCAAAGATAACGCACAATAAAAAACGTTCCTTATCTGAATCAAGAAACAAGCACGAGAAATCATCGTCTTCGACGACACTGCACACAAAATCCAGTTCCAATCATTCAAACAATTTGTTACTTGAAACACCTAATTCCTCCACTAATAATCTTTTGGCATCATTAACAACTCCACAACCCCCAACATTCGAAGAAATCGATCGTCTCCAACAACTTCATTATACATGGCGTTGGCTCTGGGAAACGAATTATTCTTCACCCGTAAAGAAACTTCTGCAGCGCAGACATAATGTACGAGTACTGGATGTTGGATGTGGTCCGGGTGTTTGGACACTGGAAATGGCTTCCGAATATCCAAACGTCGAATTCTATGGCGTGGATACTTTTGAATCGTTCCCGACTGAAATTAAACCGTCAAATGTTTTCTTTTATAAAGCGTCAGTTCTTGTTGGTCTTCCCTTCGATTCAGAATTCTTTGACTTTATCGTGGTCAGAAATTCGAATTCGGTTTTTACGGTGCAAGAATGGTCGGAAAATGTGTTTAAAGAATTGACGCGAGTCTTGAAGCCAAGTGGAATGATTGAAAGCCAAGAAAGCGTATGGAATGTAAATACGATGGGTCCTTCTTTCCAATTATTGGCAAATACTTGTAAGTATTATTGTAAATATATCTTCTGTTCCTTCCGATTGCCAATTGAACATTTAAAACTCACATCTTTATATTTTTCTTTTATTAAAGATAATTGCATGCTTGAATCGAAAAACATCGACCTGACAATCGCGAAACGTATACCAGAATTCATGAAAAACACTAAATGCTTAATAAACGTAGCCGAACTCAAAAAAGCTCATCCACTTTCATTAGAAGAAGGTGGAAAGCTCGCTGAATCATTCCAACAAATCGCACATAGCGGATTTAAAGTATTAAAACCACAATTGCTTCCACAATTGCGCACAAGCGCGAAATCCTACGACAATCTTGTCGCGAATATTCAATACGAATTCGCCCATTCCGAAGTTGTTCTTTATCGAACATTCGCGCAAAAAGTGTCGTCTGAATAAAACCTTCTACGTATTTTTCAGACACATTTTATCAATCAATCATTCTTTTCTTGTATATTTACCACTTTCTTTTTTCACTACAAATTACTTTACTTATTTTAACACCTAAAGTTAATTTTTATCGAATTGTAAATAACTTAAGCTATCATTACCGTTACATAACTAAACCATCAACCACACATTAAGCTTTTTTTTTTTAGATATAAACTGTGTTCTTTTTAGATCGTGTATTATAATTATAAACTATATAATCGTTTACTCATTCTATACAAATGTAAATATAAATATATCCTCGATTGTATCATATAACATATTAGCAGCGACATAAACACCGCAATCACAATTAATGAAAGGAAATTTTCTATTTTCTTTCCTAAAGCAATCTTCAATAAGATAAATAAGGAATAATGAATCAATCAATCACGAATGTAACTTTAATCTCTGAGTGAACAGAAGCATTTCATTCGTTGTTGTCTTCATCGCCGTCGCTCCAATTATCCTTGAAATTCTGTGTTCCATTTAAAGTGTCATTGTCTCCGGTTGTTGTTGTTCTTTTACGTCGGATCAATGGACAAAGACTTTTTTTTAGTCTTATGATACTTTTTGGGTAGAGGTAACCAAGACTTTGTTTTGTTACCTGACCTGTCACGCGTCAAAGTCGTAACGTATTGCAAACTTTCACTACAAGGACATAAAAACTGGCAACGTGAATCGAACAACTGCAAAGGTACATGTATAAGGAGCAACAACTATTCGTTGAACAAACATACAATTCAAGAATATCTTGTATCATCCAATATGCCAAGAAATGCATATGTATATCGGAAAATCAATTTCCCTCAAGAATTGATTGCTTGCGTTTTTAATAAAAATAATTATTATTTACATTTAATACATTTCAATAATAATTGCTAAAAGATATTAAAGTGGCAACAACAAATACATGTACTTTGAATTCTACGAATATAGAAAATTAAAAATTAAACTAATAAAATTAAAAATTAAATTACATAAGTATCTAATACTAAAAACCAAACTAGAATAAACAATATTAATTAACATTGACATTAAATTTTTTGAGCCCAAGTTCGATATAACTTGACTTCACAATCACCACCATCGCAGCTGCAGTCACTCTGAAATTTCTGTTGGACCAGCATTACGGCGTTATCGTATCTTTTTGAGCTAATGTTCATTTGTGACAACAATCGCGACTTGTTTGTACGAAAATCATTCAGTATGATGTCCTGAAACGATTTGGCTACTTCTCCGCCAGCGGTGCCAAGTGGATGTGACCGTGTCTCCTGGTGTGTGTTTGCGAATGTGCAGGTAGTGGTGGTTTCTAGCCAATCGGGCAACAGCTTTGCAATGTGTATTTCGATGTCCCGTTCTTTGTAGTTTGATTTCCCTTTTATAGGAAGAAAATAATGAAGTAAAAATTAAAATAGTTCCTCCGTAATGCGATGATCCTTGTCTCACAACTTACATGCATTGAAAAGAAGATTAAATGCTGCATCCATCTCGTCAATCTTCCATATATATTCATTTGATTCAATGAATCCGCCGGATTTCAGTACACGTTGCAACTCTGGCAGAATAGTCTCACGCCATTCAGGTACTGTAAATTCCGTCTGCATATTTCTGATGACAACGAAATCAAAATACTCTTCCGGATACGGTAATCCATTTTGTAAATCTACTAATTGGAATCTAACATTTGGTGGTTTAATTTCGGTGGGAAAAGATTCGACGATATCAACTCCAAAGAAATTGGCATTTTGATAATTCGCTGCCATTTCTAATAACCATACTCCAGATCCACATCCTATTTTATTCGAAACGAATCTGAGTTCATGATCGTGAAGATAGTTTTTTCAATGAGATATGAATTCAAAAGGTTTTTTTCTTACCCACATCCAAAATTCTCACATTATTTCTGTTTTTTAAAACGTGTCCGACAGGTGACGAATAATTAGTTTCCCATACTAAACGCCATGCGTAATGAAGTTGTTGATGTCGATCAATGTCATGTTCATTCAAAGATATTTTATATTTATTCTTGCCACTACTATTGATGTCGTCGCTACTATTGCTCGAGTCGAATTCAGGGTTTATAAGCGACAACCTATTTTTTATTCTCGAGTTTCTCCGCGACGAAACAGTAACATTATTATTTCGAACGCTTCCGTTTTTTGATATTTGATTGCCACCCATTAATTTTTTTTTATTCGAATTTTTTAAGAGAAAAAAGTTTTTGAAGGAATTAATTATTTTTATTATTACGTATTATTAAAGTGTCTACGTTATTTATTTATGGGTTGCAATTGTTTCACTAAAAATATACTTGCTATTTTAACAGTGCATTTTGCAGATAAATTTCTATAAAAGATGTCCGATGTTGTAGAAAAGGGGCTATACTTGTGTTCGTGATTGAATGTATCAAATATAACACACAAATGCTGCTGCAATGCGTGGGACACATACAATGTCAGCAGGTGATTGAGATAATAGGTGATTCTTTTTCTATTCTTTTACTAAGTCGTAAACTTTAAAAAAAACTGGTTAGTTGACACAAAGCTAAAGATTTTAAGAGAACACAAATTGTTCTACATATCCTCTCAAATTTTTTTACTTGGTGATGGTGATAATGTTTCGAATTTGAATCGACGATAGATAACACATACATTTCTATCGTGTAATATACCATTTGGTGAAACGAATAAGTACGTATCTTCTTTTCGATATTTGTATTATTAGTTTTAAAATAGAGTATAATATCAATAAAGTGTTTAGGTTTCATGTAGATATGGAATAAAAATGTTGGTCAAAAAATTTCTAAAGAAGTTGAATAGTTTTTCTATAGATGAAACATGTAAAAAGTTTTAAATCCAGTGAAAATTTACTATTGCTATTGATTTTGGTGATAAATTATTATAATTTTCTTGCCATTCCGGAATCTGCAGTTTCCCTATAGTTAAATATATTTTTTAGTATGTAATAGGAAATGAAATTTTACCAGCGTGTAGATATACCTATTAGGCATCTTTTTCTGTTACAAGCTGAAAATATTATTTCAATGAGAAGCTCTTTACTAATGTGTGGTGCAAACGGCTTAGTCACATCACATCAAAGGCGCTGAAAATTTGCATATCGATATCATTACTTATAAACTTGAATATAGTTTTTTTTATATCGATATTAATGCTGAAATTTTTAAAAATGCATTATTTAAAATTGTATCTTCTCAATAAAACTTTAAATGTAAAAAAAATACGTCATTTAATAGTTTTCATAAGTAACGTATTCCCATACAAAAATCCTTTGCATTGGATATCTTTAAGCTGTTCGCACCATACTAATTAAGGATTATACATGTACTATCGCTATTATCGTTATCGTTATAACAATAACGATAACGATAATAAATGTGGGGGATTATGATGAAAAACGGATTATGGTGAAAATTTGGCCAAAATTGTGCAGATCATGCGGAACATTTGTCCAGAATTATTAAAAGAGCAATATTTTGAAAATAATGATAAATGAATATACATGTATAACTTAAATTAATTTTGCAATAATGTTTATATTGCCAAATGCTATATAAATTTATGAGTATAATTATTATTTATAGTTTATTATAATAGATATTGCAAATTTTCATCATCGATCCCCCACAAATTTAGCGCGTCTTATCGTTATCAAGAATACCGATACGTATAATATCATTGAAGCCTATATCAATATGTATTTTCCACAAATAATAACGATAAAAACTGAAATTTATATCGATATGAATTAAAATCAGTCAAAATTCTTAGAAATTCTACATAATTTGTCAATTTTAGGCTAAATAATAAAGAAAAACTCGATGCGTATCTCAATAAAAACTGACAATTCAAAGAAAAAAGAATTTATTGGACATTATCAAGCTTATGTCAATTTTCAATGTTGAATTTATGTTGCTTTGTCAATTTTCAATCATCGGGAAGTTTTTGAAAGTGTAGAGCATTTAATGTGTTGTCCTACCAACTCTTTTGTTGTTCTACACATTTAACCGATACGTATAAGTATTGATCAATGTGTTGCTCTATATTTGTAGTATTGTTTTACATTACAGGAATGTTACTAATTAAAAGTGTAGAACAACATATTTAATGTGTTATTTTATACTTTCGAAAAACTTTTTGTTGCAATGTTCAGTGAATTTATTCTAAATACAGTTCTTTTACAATCGCATTAATATTAAAATAAAAAGGTGTAATTGTCGGTGAACTCTTATTTCTTAACAAGTCGCGAAAAATTATCGTTATTAATTTTGGTCAAAATTTATAACTTAAAGGTTATATAATGTTCGGTGACTTCTTAGAGTCACATCCATATACGTAATGTCGTTACATGGTGAGAAGTGATGCAAAATTTCCGTTCTTGGTCCCCCGTTTTTGATTCTCCCCCGTTTCTAGACTAAAAGATTTAAATACATGTACATGTAACCTATACTCTAAACCCATACCATACTAATACCATCCAGCTATTTATTGTACCGAATAAGATTATTTTACGTTACTGAATACGTACGTAGTATAATACTTGTACGTACATGTAATACAATGTATGAGCCTAATCAAAAACATTTTTGCAACATTTAAAATTTTCGACCAAGAATGGGTATTTTGTAACCTTTTGTTAAACCTTAATTTAATTCAATTCTTTTTAGTAGAACAGCAGATTCTTTTTTGCATACAAGTGGAATTTCTTCTAAATAAGTTAAAGTTTAAACTTTCTACAAAATTGGAGGACAGAAAATACATGTATAACGATACGGACACTGTGACCACCGAAAATAATGAACAACACGGTACTATAAAAAGTTGATTTTTCATCAATACAACGACCCTTTGTGTAATAATTAAACTTGTTCGCCGTCTTGAAATCTATAACAGTATAATTTGACACAAATGGTCATTTCATAAGCTTCGAAAAATCAACTAAACTTCCAAAACTTCGTTCGTAAACTTTGAACGTAAAATTGACCACAATGTCAAGCTTTAACACGATAAATGCTAATAATAAAAAAAATGTTCGTCAAAATTTTAGCAATATGGTTCATTGGTTCACAAGATATTGTGCAAAACGTGGATTTTTTTCTGCATTTATACAGATGAATTGAAGTATATTACTAAATTTTAAAAATCCTAGACATTATATAAATTAATTACTTTTATAAATATTTAGTTGAACTTTCTTGTGTAGTTTCAGGCATTCGGATTATTTAGTATACAAACTCAATTCGTTGAATGTTTTGCACAATATCTTGTGAACCAATGAACCATATTTTGAGATTAACTAGACGAACACTTTTTATTATTAGCATTATCGTGTTAAAGATTGTAGTCAATTTTACGTTCAAAGTTCACGAACGAAGCTTTGGAAGTTTTTTTGATCTTTCGAAGCTTATAAAATGACCATTTGTGTCCGAAATGTCTTAAAGGGTCATTGTATTAGTGAAAAGGCAACTGTTTATATGGTGCATACCATCTAAAGTCATCAAACGTTTGTATTTTATAAAATGTTTAAACTTCTCAACTAAGAAGTAAATTTAAAATTTAATCCGTAAATATGATGGAATAAGCCTTTTTCTACGAATTAAATTTTAAATTTACTTCTTAGTTGAGAAGTTTAAATTTAAACATTTTATAAAATACAAACGTTTGATGACTTTAGATGGTATGCACCATAGTACCGTTTTGGATCAATCCGAAACCGGACCAACCTCAGACCGAAAAAACGATTCGGTTTCGGGTTTAATCCGAAATGATATAACTTAGAATATTCTCATCAAAATAATTTTTGGTCCTTTATAAGTAATTATATAAAAAAAAATGAAAACAATAATATCTTATATTGTATATTAGATATAGAAATCAAAAATAAATTCAGTAATTGCCACATATGGATACTAAAAGTTTCCAACACTTTTTTGGGCGCGAGATCTCGACATCCAGCCATTGTATTCACACAAAAAGACTACCATTCGATTCGTCTAGTTGTGCTAATGATTATATTTTTGTGCGAGTTGAAATATTGCGCCTAAAAAGTGTTTGAATCTTATTTGTAGAGGTCTGTAATAAAATATGTGACTACTTTACCTTCGATACTCCGTTCGTCCTTAGAAATATTGCTATCATAGAGCAAAACTCGATCCACTGGAATATATATTTTGTTCACCCAGTTTATTAAGAAAGCTGGTTAATTTATTATAGACTGATAACATACATACAGGCATCATGTGATAAAAATGTTGAATGCGAATATCTGGTAGGTAATTTTATTTATAAATTTTAAACATTTGCATAATATTTTAACACATCAATGTTTTGGCCACGAAAAGTATAAACTTCCAATTGTAATAGAGAGCGAGGTATCTGTTGTTTTAAATTAACTATTTAGCGCACAGTCACCCCTGTAAAACCGCGATTTATTGAGGTTTACTTAGTACAGTTTATATCGAAGCCGATTTGCAGTAACTGTTTTTGATTTATCGAGGTGGGCTTGGTTTAACGGAGTTGACTATATTTACTTGATTATTGTTCTAATAATTTTATTTATAGTATTCTTCCGGAAATATGTATCAATCAAAAGGTAGTAAAGCTATGAATAAACACCATGTTTAAATCACAAAAATCACCTTAACGTTAAACGGCAATAATCTTGAATTTCGAAGAAATGTCCGGGAATAAGCACAAACTCGTTTTTGGAGTCCTTATTCCGGAAGAATATGATAAATTTATTATTCGAATATGTTGCAAGTTGGAATAGAATCTGTGTTGATTTGGAATTTGGCCCGCATTATAAAATTAACTTTGGCTAATATTCTAAATCAACCTATACAGTGGCTCACACATGTAACCGAACACGAAAATTAACTTTCTAGCATTTTTATTTCCATGAATATTAGTTGGACAAAATAAAAAGTGTTCATTTGAAACTCTGAAACCTCTAATATTTTTTAAAAATAATTTGAAAACAGATTATTTTGTGAAATAGAGTGGTTTAAATCAAAATTTACAATTAGTAAATTTCTCACATTGAAAAACTTTTTTCCTATGACGGATCCAAATTTGAATCACTAATTAAAAATGTACTACTCTATGCAATCTACCTATTTACCAGTTTTCATAAAAATTAGCCCCAAATTCACCGAGATTTGAGAC